GATGAGCAGTGATGGATGTTTCTTTCACCTAGTATTTGGCTTTAATTTTGTCATGTACTTATATACTATGATATTTTGGATGTTTGTTAGTATTTGTCTTGAGGACAATGCAAAAATCTAGGTATGGGGGTGTGAGCTAGTTAGTTGTTTCCTTTTATTTTGCTTCATTTGTTAGTTAGTATTTTGTTTTTCTTAGTTTTAGTAACTTTTTTTTACTAAAAACTAACAAAAGGAAAGTGCTAACTAGAAAAATGAAAAAAAAGTTAATAAAACTAAGTAAGAAAATACTAATAAACGAATCAAAACAAAAGAAAACAACTAACTAGCTCACACCCCTAGCTCACCCCCCCATGCTTAGACTTTGCATTGTCCTCAAGGCAAATACTAGCAAACGTCCAAACTATCACAATATATAAGTACATGCCAAAATAAAAGTTAAATACTGGGTGAAAGAAACATCCCTCAATGCTCATAACTAGACGGATCATCATCAACATCATCAGTGGTCACTTATGTACTAGGTCCAGCTTCATCCTCCCATCCTCCCGGAAAATCATCAGGCTAAAGTGGTGTGACAAAAATCTGAAGCTCAGGTGGGGGTTCAGTTGTATCTTCATGCACCCTCTACCACTCTCTCATCAGATATGCTAAGGACTCGATAACATAGTTCATCTGACCCTGCATCCTAGCCTGCTTCTCACGAATCCGCTGAATGGGATCATGCGTAGCCGATTAGCGCCGAGGAGGAGCTCTATGTGAAGAACCTGATTGGTCTCGTCCTGAAATGCTCCTCTTCACAGCCTGATCTGTCAATAGCTCCTTCCCTGCTTCTAGTCTATCCTCCGTGAAAATTAGAACAGAAAATCTACGGCAAAGTCTAGTAATCAAGTAGGGGTAAATAAGTTGAACTCTCGATCCAGACTATCCTGGCCCACTCTAGAACACCCTCCACTGAAGATCTCATCCAGACCTAGATAATGCTGGTTGTATCAAACCGTCGACCAGTGACTATCTAATAAAGGAGTATATCATGGGTGGTGATGGTTGTGTATGCAGTGGTGGGTTTTAGATCAAAGTTCATGAAAAGATTGAGTAATCTATACTTAGGCTTGAGATTTCCTGAACCAAAGCTAGATGTGAAGGTCCTCCCATACAAAATCATAGACATATCATTATATTCTAGTGTACTAAGTTGTAAGTTAGAAGATAACTGAAAGTAATCGGGTACATCAGCTGATGGTTCCTTAAGTCCAAGAATATCTCTAAGTTTGGGAAGATCAATGACTACCTTAACACCCCTAACTGTAGAAAAGTCAAAAATTCTTTATCTAGATCAAATTCTCATCCAGTATAAAATTCACGAATTAAGGAAATATTGGCTTTTTCTAGGGGTTTATCCATCATACTCCTAAGTCCCACTACGGTCAACATATCAATTGTAGATTTATATGTTTAAAGTATACTGATTTGAAATCCCCTCTCAAAATGAATATTTAGACTCACAATTTTGGCTAAGAGTGTAGATCTATCTAAATCATCATCGGATGGAACTTGAGAAGACGAACGCGCTCGAGATCTTTTTCTAGGAGGCATCTACAGAAAACTATATTTTAATATAATTAAAACAACAAGACATCCAAGCATAAAAATAATTCTAGGGTAAGAGTGTTCTAGCATCTTGGATATTTAAGCAAGAAAAGAAAGTAAAAGATAAATTTATTAACAAAGAGAAAAATTACATCCCAATAAGATTCTAGCCTCAAGATGATAGCAAATCTTCCTCTTGATCTTCATCTTCCTCTCACATTCATCTTCATAATCAAACAAAGAGAAGAAAAGAAAAATATGAAAAGGTGAAAATATTTTTTTATTAATTGTAATAAAAAATTATAATTTGGAAGGTCTTCTCAATTAAAAGTAACCATCCTCTCCAAAAAGAGTTTTTACAAAATATTTCTAGTTAGCACTTTCTTTTTGTTAGTTTTTAGTAAAAAAAATTATTATTATTTCTGCCAATTTGATCGAGTTAATGCATAATTAATTTATTTGATAAATTATAAATTTTCTAATCACTAGTTAGTTTTATATTCAAGTTCACCTTTTATGATAACTCTAAATAAATTTCTTAAGAAATAATTTTTAAAGTAATATACTTCACTTAAGCCTTAACTTAGACTTTTAATTAAAATAATAAAAAAATTGCATGCTTAGTTTAGAGTTAAAAATAAATTTTCAAGTTGTCTTGATCTATGTATTTTTTAGGATATATATATACATATACACATATGTATATATTTAAGAAAAAACTCTTGAATTCAAGGTGATTCTATCTTATAAAGCCTAAGTTGACCGAGTAGTTAAGCCCAATGAGTATTTCTATACTTAATGACCTAAGCCCAACTAGGTTGGGATTCATTAGCCCAAAACTCGTTTAATAATCACTTAGAAATCCTGATAAAGTAGAAAAAAATCACCAAGGAATAAAGAGTGAAATAAAAAATATACTAACAATGTTTTTATATATATAGTTATATTTGTATATATGATCTTGAAAAATGATTTTTATTAAGAGACTGAAAATTTATTTAAAATAAAAAGTTAGCATGTTCTTTTTAAAAAATTTAAATTAAATTTCTAAGTTAGACTTGGTTTTATGTAGCTATAATGAAAAGATTTTCTAGGAGATTACCTTTATATATAAAAACGTTTTCTCGAGTAATAACTAGCTTCAAGTAGAATGTTTAAATATATCAACTAATTATTCACATACTTCTTTGAATTGGCAAAATAATCGAATTTTGTTGGTATATTCACCGCAAACCCTCACGAGACTATAACTCGTCCTTTAGGATAACCTAGGGGTTTAAAGGCTTGTTGTATGTGCTAAATACAGCCATGATTCCTGCGAAAATGAGTTAGAATTTTTAATTTCTTTCTTTGCTAGAAGACTAATAAAAGTTTAGGTATGGGGTATTTAATAATCATAATTTATTACATTTTACACCCTTATTATCTATTTAATTTAAATAATATATCACTAATAAACATGTTTCATTTTAATTGCAGGTTAATGAATAAAAGCCTAAGAAAATATCAATATCTCATCTCTTAAAAAGCCCAAGAGTCCAAGCCCACAAGCGAAGATCGGCCAAATCGATAGTGATATCGATACCCGTGTCGATACCTGTATCGATACCAAATTTACTGTTACGTATTAAAGTCTAAAAATGATTAACTTGGGGATCAAGTTTAATCCAAGAGCTCTCATTCATTGTTGTAGACTATAAATATGGGTAGAGAGTGAGGGGTTGAGAGTGATAAATTTTATAGAAACTCCATTTGGAGAGGAGGGTTACTCTTAATTGAGAAGACCTTTTAAATTTATAATTTTTTGTTGCAATTAATAAAAGATTTTTTTTTACCTCTTCATATTTTTTCTTTTCTTCTCTTTATTTGATGATGAAGATGAAGATGAAAATGAAAATGAAGATTAAGTTGAAGGTTTGCTTTCAAGAGGCCCTCTTGTAATGTAAATTTTCTCTTTTATTTTTATTTTTTTTTGTAGTAATTTCTTTTCTTCTTGTTTTAGTAGTTTAGATTAACATTAATGCCTTGTAGAGTAGATTTACATTCTTGTCTTTATTTTTCATTATTGTCTTGCACTCCTAATTTGTAGAGTAGATTTATTTTCTCACATAATCTAGATTTTCATTTATGTTATTTTCTTTTACAATTTAGTTAGATTTATTTCTATGTTCATAGTATAAATTTCTTTGTTCTCATTTCTCTTCTTTGTAATCAGTTTTTATCTTCATTCTTTTCTTTTATTCTTCTCTAGTATAGATTTCATTTCTTATTTTTATTTTCTAAGATGTGGAACTAATTCTTGTAGGAATTCTAGAATTGTTGAAACCAGCCTAATTTCTTTTATAGTTTGTGAATTATTCTCTTGCGCTTAAAATAATCATGTGTAGGATAATCAACTAGAGAACTAATTGATAGAAGAAGAATTTAATAATCTATGTTTATCTTGAGTGATTTGATAGGTTATGCTTATGAATTATAAAATTACTATCTAGTTGTTATTCTTTTCTTAAATGTTAATTTTGTTTAGATAATAATTTGATAGATTATGTTTTCCTTAAATGGTTTGATAGTCTATACTTAATAAATCTAAAGTAAAATGTGATACAAAGAGAATGATTCATATTTTATAATTGAAATTAACTAGAGGATTCAATTCTAGATTCCTCATATTTTTAATTAAATCATCCATCTTTACTTCCTTGAATTTTCTCTTTGTTCTTGATTTTTCATTATTTACTTTCTTATTTATTTTTCTTTGGTTTCTTTCTCTCCTCTCAACCTCATTTTATTTTTATTTGCATATATTCACAACCATTGCTCATATTTCTCCACAATCATACACATTCATCACTCCTACTTGTCACATACAACATAAGAATCGATTTTGATTTTCTCCTACAAACAACTTCCTCGTGGGATCGATAACTTTTTATACTATGACTTGATAGTTGTGCACTTGCAACTTTAGAGGTATATATTTATGCCCTATAAGAAACTCTCTTTTTTCCATAACAGACCCGCATTCAGTGAACAAAAAATGCGTTATTCTATTCTGTTCCGCATACACTAAACGAAAACAATTGGTTAGTGATTCTAAACATGTGTTATTCACATATTAGTATGTTTATGTTTTATTAAATGTGCTCATATTACATTTTAGGACATTATATTATATATGCTCACCCCGATATATCCCGGAATCCAATATGAATTTTGGTCATCGGATATATTTCCCATAACCGACAATTAAGACCTTGAGTGTCGCATTAAAGTGCAAATTTAAAGAATTTTAGGGTATATAAGTGCAACCAAAAGCAAGTGAGGGCATATAAGTCCAAAGTAGGCGAAATTATAGGCAGCTAAGTGCAATTAAGTCTTAAAAAAATTGTAAGCTAAGTCATAGAAAGACGTACCATTAATCTCGAAGTGGCGTCTGATGAGCTCCCTAACCCTAAGGCTCTCCTTCTCGAATCCACCGCCAAAACCCTCCCCCATCTCCTCCACCGTAGCGCACGATCCCTTCCTCCCACTCTCTCCTCCATCATCCCTCCCTCTCTCCTCCTCCACCTCATCCTCTCGTTCTTCTTGTTCTGGAAGGATCTGATGAGAGTATCGCTCCCGAGAGTGTAGGAGTGACAGATCTCCGGCGTGATCGTGGACGACAGCGGTGGAGGAGATCCAGAAGAGGAGGAGGATGCTGGTGATCGCTCCGCCGATGAGCGCGTAGCGAGCGAAGGTTATACGATTCTTTCTTCGCAGAGAGGAGGATGATGATGACGGTGACGGTGACGGTAGCGGTGGGGGCGTCGGCGGTGACACGTGATGCCTCATCGTGCGAGAGAGAGAGAGAGAGAGGAGTTGCGAGTGGAGATCAGCCGATTGCGAGCTCAGATTGCAGCGGTAAAGTTACCGAGATTTTTATTCGGACTCAAATGCTGAAAGACACCTGATGGGCTATTTTAGGCCCATAGAGAATGGTCTAAGTCCTAACATTGAATTGGACCTTGTTGGGCCGCAGTTAAGAGGGACAATACATTCATAAACAGAGCCTTATGAAACGTACAGGAAGAAAATACATGTGTCTCATTATCAGTTTAATATATTGTATTGATTCAACGGTTAGGTCGTACTAAATGCTTAATTATTTAGGAGGCGTTACAGGCACACCCTTAGACACACCACCAACCACACCCCCCCTCACAGTGAAGCGCCACCACACTCCCCCCTGCTAAGCAGTTGGAGCAGACCCGACGTGGGGCCGCTTCACTGTCAAGGGGTGAGTGTGGTTGGTGGTGTGTCTAAGGGTGTGTCTCTATCATTTTTCTTATTTTTTTAAGAGTTTATTAATTGTCGGGATAATTTAAAATTGATAGTAACAATTGTATCATTATTCTTCTTCGTCTTTCCCTTGCTTCTTTTTTTTCCTTAGGGCTTTTTGGTTGGGCCAAAAGGTGAAGAAAATGGGTCAAAAAACTGACAAAAGGAAAAGTTTTACATTTCCCCCCAAAAGCCAAGTTTAGGGTATTCTTCATATCTCCCGCCTCCTTCATCGCGTCACCGCGCCCTCCCTCTCTCCCGCCGCCAATCCCTCTATCTCTTACCCCTCCGTTCACAAATTCGACTGGCGAGAGTATTATCAGCAGTTTTTGTTGCCGGAAGCTGACGAACACCGACCCATCCGCATTGTCGAGTTGCTTGGAGGTGAGAAATCTCCTTAAATTTGTTTTTTTTTTCTAGTTTTTAAGGGTTGCTTCTTCTCTCAAAAATTTGACAGTTTTAGAGGTTTTGGTGATGGGATTTTTTTTTAAAATTTTTTTTGCCCTTTTTACTTTGTTTTTTTAATTAAATGAAGAAAGTTTGGATATCTTGTGCTGAGAAAAAAATTACTGCTTCGAAACACATGGCTTTATTATATATTGAGAGGTGAGCATGATCCATTGCCAAACGTTTAATTGTCATAAAAATTATATTTAACTTAGTAAAATATTGCAGCTAGCTCGAGAGATCTTCTTGATTTTGTTTATTGTAGTACTATGAATGAATGATTGAAAGCATGACCATAATTGTAACAAAAGTTTAAATTCTCATTGAAAGCCTGTTAAGTGTAACCTTCAAATATGTTATCAGTTGTTTTTAGCTATGATATATGTTTGGGAAAATTGTTTGGAGCAAGTAATTTGCAAAAAGTTATGCACCCCACCCCCAACTAGAGTCAACCCCTTGTAAGTACGTTGACCCAAGTTTCCATGCTAAAACACTCCTAGCCCAATATTATATATGTACTTTATACTGTATTTTTAAGTATTGTCCACTTTACCCTTTTGCACCCATTTGTGGAGTGTCTAAACTATTTTGTCTTATTGGGCAGCCCTTGTTCCATTATACAGTGAGAAGTGACATCCGGTTGGGTTCAAGAGAATTGGGGAGAATGACATTAATGGCTGGAAGAGTTTTTATGGAGGGAAAGGAAAAAATTGGAGGGAAATATACTAAGTTCCCTCCAAATAATGCTCCATCTCAATGTAATATCTTATTCCCTCTTTAGATTCTACTCAACAACCTTCAACAATCAAAATATTCTTAATTTTTTCCTCTTAACTTCTTCAAAAACCAAAATAAAAGAATCTTTAATGTGTGTGATTTCGTTTAACACAAATGCAACCCTTATTAAAGTCAATTCTGTAACAAGTTTAGTTGAATTGAAGATGCAAGCTGTAGAGAATTTAAGAGTATCGTACGAAAGTTTGTTGATAAGTTACTCTCTCGAGAAGCTTCCCAATGCCTCGTTTGAGCTTTCAAAAGATGAAGATATTCTCAACATGATAGATTATCATCCTTCGATGGGGTTAAATTCGATAACCATGACTGTTAGTAAAAGAGATGAAGGATCCACACATGCCATAGGGACAGAAACAGAGCTTAAGTAAGTATTCAAAAGATTATTTTCAGGTTTTGGATACACGTTATAATGAAAATTGTGATGTTTACATCTTATATGTGACATGAAGGTATTTCACATGACATATTGACTTTATTTGTGACATAAACTTGTTAACAGTTATTTATAATTATCACACGTGATTTATATGTACGTTATATTCAACTTACAGTCTTCCTAGTGTAAGTTCACAGTCATTAGAGCATATCAAGGACTCTTATGAGAGGATCCCAATTGAGGAATCAGAGAGGATCCCAAACAACAATCCTCAAGGAGAGCAAGTGTGGATGATGAACGACGTAGTAAGTGACTCGTCAAGGATCCCAGCATGGTAGCACGAGGCAATTACTGGAAAAGGACTGTAATTTGAAAGCGCAAAAGAAGTTAGAATGGCTCTTATATACTACTCTATAGTTAAAAAGTTCGCTTTTAAATATGTTAACAATGAGCTAAAACGTATTCATGCTAGTTGCATGTTCAGAAAAGAAACAAAATGTCTGTGGTTGTTTTTCGCTTCACCATTGAGCCATGTGTCGACCTTTGCTATAAAAAAAATTTGTTCCTTAACATACTTGTGGACAACATAACAACATAGTTGGTCACTTTAGAGCATAAAGAAGGTGGATTGCGAGTATGCTACAATCAATTATGAAGAGGCATCCATATATCACCCCAACTAACATTAGAAAGGAATTGTACTCTCAATATAGTTTAAAAGCTAATTATTCTAAAGCTTAGCGCGCTAAGGAGATAGCAAAAGACAAAATATTTGGTTGCGCAAGGTATCCATATGATTTACTATCCTGGTTAGTCCATTAATTTGTTGATGTCTCCTTTAGAATGTATATGTATCACAGTTAACCATAAATATGACATGTCAGAACGCTCTGTGACAAATAAGCATAGCATGTGATATGTCAACGACATATGTGACACTTCAAATCTAAATGTGACTCTTTGACCTTCTATGTGATATTTAGATCTGTTTTGTGACATTTAAGTATTACATGTGACATTGAGACATCATATGTGACATTAACGTATTATATATGACTGTTAGAACTTATTCATCATTTAACAAGTTATTTGTCCTTCTAACTATCATTTAAAGGTACCAAATGAAGGTGATGGAAACAAACCCAGGCAGACTCTTCATTATTAAACAAGAAGAAAGGAGATTCAAGCGTTTATTTGTGTCCTATGGTGCATGCATACAGGGGTTTGTCAATGGATGTAGGCCATTACTCTTTCTAGATGTGACTTTTCTAAAAGATCGCTACAAAGGGATCTTATTAGGTACAACTGCTTATGATGGCAATCAATACATATTTCCACTCGTATTTTGTATTTGTGACCAATAAAATAAAGTGAATTAGAGTTGATTTATTCAAAGATTGCGGTATATTTTGTATAATCGGATAGAACCATATAATCCTGTTTTCGTCAAAAGTTGGTCTCGTTGAGGAATTCATTATATCTTCGATCGATTACAATAAATTCAAAAGAAGTAGCCTTTTTATAAGACTTCTTTTACACAACAAAATAAAAATTACAACTTTTTAGAAACAAACGCATGATCATTGTTTGGATCACTGCTTGCGTGAGATCTTTACCTGTGTCGGGAGCGCTTTGACTCGTGGACCACCAAATCACAGATTCTGATTGAATCGTGAGGGGTTTAATGATTCTTCATTCGTTTATCGAAGTGAGAATTTGAAACGATATCTTATCAAAGTAAGATAGTCGTTCTTCTTGAGATCAAGTCAAAGCTCGAATCTCAAGGGATTGCCAGAAGCTCAGGAACTCTGCTCTCTCTGCTCCAAAGTGCTCAAAAATGATCAGCCCCCTCAAAAATCTCGCACGGCGAGACAGAAAAGGCTGTCTCGCACGGCGAGACAGAAAAGGCTGTCTCGCACGGCGAGACAGAAAAGGCTGTCTCGCACGGCGAGACAGAAAAGGCTGTCTCGCACGGCGAGACAGAAAAGGCTGTCTCGCACGGCGAGACAGAAAAGGCTGTCTCGCACGGCGAGACAGAAAAGGCTGTCTCGCACGGCGAGACAGAAAAGGCTGTCTCGCACGGCGAGACAGAAAAGGCTGTCTCGCACGGCGAGACAGAAAAGGCTGTCTCGCACGGCGAGACAGTCTATACTTGTGTTCTTTTGACTTTTTTGGATGATTTCCTCTTGAGCTGTATTTGGATATCTTTCAGCATTTTTTGACGCCTACAGATACCCCCTCCAAAGTATTCCAGACTCATTCTTTTATAGAGGAGTTCTGGGATACTTTGGATAAGATAAGTCTTGCTTACGATCCCTTCCATGCTTGGTTGAGTAGATCGTGTAGAGGAGCCCGTAGATGGCTTCAACTCTTGACCTCTTTGTCTCTCAATCTATTCAGTACTTTGTAGAATAGTTAAGATTCTTTCGGTACTACGTTTATCGCTTGACCGTTGTCGAGATCTTGAATCGAAACTGGTATTTGTTCTTGTGAGCTCAGCTTTTGTCACCAAACTGATACTCATACATCCATTGAAAATTCGTCAGGTTATCCTTAAGAATATTCAGATTAATATTCTTTAGAAACTTCCTGTCGAATGTAGGAAAACAGTTTAGACTCGTGTACCTATTGGAGTAACATGGTCTCTTTTTTGTTGGTAGAGATGAACCCGAAATCGGAGAGGAAGAATTTTATATTCTATCTCGTGGTCTCTTGTTTGTTGGTAAAGATGAACCCAAAATCGGAGAGGAAGAATTTTATATTCTATCTCCTGGTCTCTTGTTTGTTGGTAGAGATGAACCCGATCTTGTTTGTTGGTAGAGATGAACCCAAAATCGGAGAGGAAGAATTTTATATTCTATCTCCTGGTCTCTTGTTTGTTGGTAGAGATGAACCCAAAATCGGAGAGGAAGAATTTTATATTCTATCTCCTGGTCTCTTGTTTGTTGGTAGAGATAAACCCAAAATCGGAGAGGAAGAATTTTATATTCTATCTCCTGGTCTCTTGTTTGTTGGTAGAGATAAACCCAAAATCGGAGAGGAAGAATTTTATATTCTATCTCCTGATCTCTTGTTTGTTGGTAGAGATGAACCCAAAATCGGAGAGGAAGAATTTTATATTCTATCTCCTGGTGCAAAGGAAACTCGAAGTAGGATCTCCACTTAGAGAATCTGGAGTGGTTTGAATAATCCTAACTGTCATAAGGTTTGATTAGCCAATTCAAAGCTAGACCTTTCGTTCGCAAAATGAATCGAAAGGAGATTGTGGCTGTGGTCCTAACTGTAGTAAGGTTTGACCAGGTGGGAGTTTCGAGGTGATCCTAACTGTAGGAAGGTTTGATCGCTCGATTTATGGACCTCTCGTTCATTGAAGGAATCGAGAGAGGATTTTGGCTTTGGTCCTAACTGTTTAAAGGTTTGACCAAATGAGAACTTGAAACGATCCTAACTGTTTAAAGGTTTGATCGTTCAATTCGTGGACCTCTCATTCATGAAAGGAATCGAGAGGGGATTTTGGCTTTGGTCCTAACTGTTTAAATGTTTGACCAAATGGGAGTTTGATACGATCCTAAAGGTTTGATCGTTCAATTTGAGTGGACCTCTCGTTCATGGAAGGAATCGAGAGGGGAGTTTGGCTTTGGTCCTAACTGTTTAAAGGTTTGACCAAATGAGAACTTGAAACGATCCTAACTGTTTAAAGGTTTGATCGTTCAATTTGTGGACCTCTCGTTCATGAAAGGAATCGAGAGGAGATTTTGGCTTTGGTCCTAACTGTTTAAATGTTTGACCAAATGGGAGTTTGATACGATCATAAAGGTTTGATCGTTCAATTTGAGTGGACCTCTCGTTCATGGAAGGAATCGAGAGGGGATTTTGGCTTTGGTCCTAACTGTTTAAATGTTTGACCAAATGAGAACTTGAAACGATCCTAACTGTTTAAAGGTTTGATCGTTCAATTTGTGGACCTCTCGTTCATGAAAGGAATCGAGAGGGGATTTTGGCTTTGGTCCTAACTGTTTAAAGGTTTGACCAAATGAAAACTTGAAACGATCCTAACTGTTTAAAGGTTTGATCGTTCAATTTGTGGACCTCTCGTTCATGAAAGGAATCGAGATGAGATTTTGGCTTTGGTCCTAACTGTTTAAAGTTTTGACCAAATGTGAGTTTTGTGAGGGAAGATTGATTTAAAGAAGTGATCGAATCTCATCTCAGCAAAAGAGTATTCGGAAATCACCGTGGGGATGTAGTGTTTATCACATTGTTTGTAATGATCGGGTTATCCCTAAGAAAATTACATATAACATTCTTCCGAGAACTTCCCGATACATGAACCATCCACCCCCAGCTTCTTTCGCGAAACTGGGTCTAACATCATACTGAGTTACATGACCGGGTTATCCTTAAGAATATTACATGTAAAAATTCTCCAGGAACTTCCCGTCAAGAGTGGGAAACAGTTTTGACTCATCTACCTATTGGAGTATCGATGAGCAGTTTATACTCGTATACTCTTTGGAGTGTTGAGAAGCATTTTATACTCGTATACTCTTCGGAGTGATATGAAGAAGCAGTTTATACTCGTATACTCTTCGGAGTTAGGGGAAAACAGTTTATACTCGTGTATCCCATGGAGTCAGAGTCGTCTTTACTTGGTTTGTTTCGCCGTTATGACACCGGAGTCAATTAAGGCTTGGATTTTATTTTTGAGTCCAAAGCAAATCTCGGTGGGATGAAGAACCCTTCTGTGGTACGCACAGTAGTTTAGATCCGTAATCCTCTTAGCTGCCTCTTGATCTTTAATAGGTGGTAGCTCGATTTTGTCATTGGCGATGAGGTATTTCAAGATGGCTGGAGCTTCATCATCTTCGAAGGAATACTCCTTTTAAAACCTCGGATCGGGAGTCGCGTTCCCAGTGATTGTAGATGTCATCGGTCGGCATCTCTCAGCTTTCTTTCTTTTAAGAAAGTGTTCAGCTTGTTCGCCACGTAGTTTTAACTCTTTTCAAGTTTTGGATGGTACGACCCCCAGAGCTTCTAGGACATCGATGGAGAGATTATTATGGCATGTTTGCAGGATGAACTCCTCTGTAATAGGATCTCTGCAATTCATTGCTTTGTTACGGAAGCGCTTGACAAAATTATCAACTGACTCTCCGTCTTTTTGCTTCTCATCCAGAAGGGTTCCGATTGACACTTCGGTGTCATTATCGAAGAAATTGTTGAGGAACAAACTTTCCATGTCATCCCAGCAATTGATGCTCCCTGGCTTGAGACGTCGATACCAAATCAAGTGCTGAGTAGGCGAGTTTTTCCCGTCAAACGGTGTGAAGTTAATCAGATTGAATTTTGACGGGTACGATATTGAATCCCATTCTCTTGGATATGGACATGGAATACCCATCTTTTTCACTTCTTGAGCCGTCATCAAAGCGTTAACTTTGTTTTCAAGCTCTTTTATTTTCCCGTCATCGTTTATGTCTTCATTCGCGTGACGTTGAGGAGAATAAGTTAGACCACCCCCTGTAAGAGGTGCTATTGAACCACCCCCAATATCGTTATTAGGAGGATCTGTTAAACCATCCCCAGTGTTATTGCTATTGGGAGGTGTATCAGCCATAATGACTTTATCCACTTCATGATCACTATCATCTGCCACATTTTGAGTGTGGCGGGTGGGTTCAGCTCGCTGACTGGACTCAGGAGGTTGAGGCCGTTGAGTTAGTAATTCTCTCATTTGTTGGAATTTCTTCACGTTGTTTGGCTAGAGCATCTTGAAGTATTTGAACGAACTGATCAGAGGTTATTGTGAGTACTTCTCTGGTTTGTCCTGTGCTAGATACCGTATCATCCGAAGCGATAGCAGAACAAGTGTCCGAGAGCTCCTCCTCTAATGATACTCCTTCATGCATTCTCTTGTAGTCCCTATGTCTGATGGCTCTTAACTGGAGTCGGGATATCCGTTTGGCAATTCTTGAATTGACTTTTCCTCTCGGGGAAAAGTCGGGATTTGATTCACTTGAATGCCATTTAGATTTTCCTTTATCAGACACGTTTATGGTGACTTCAGCGAATTCATCATCTTGGACAGTTGATCTTCTCTTGCGGAAATGTTTCGGCTTAGGCTTCGACATTTCGGTGAAAAGACTGTGGAATACCGAGACTCTTCGTGGGATGGCTTCTCGTTTTGCGTAATTATATTCCGACAATACTGCTCTAATGAGTCGTGCACAGGAACAATGAGAGCTTATTTCTCGAATAGTTCTCTTTCGAAATTTATTCACACCTCCAACTTGATAATACGATTCATCGGTATGATTGCCAAAAAATCGTATCGTTTGTTGGCATGACCTCCTAGGTATGACGATGTCTTTTGGTGAATGCGTCTTCTTCTGGGGATGTAAAACCTTGTTGGCATTCTCAGGACAATTTATTACTGTCTTTGAGCGATCCAAGGTTATGTCGGGAGTCACACGTTTAGAACCACCCCCTTGCGGGTATGGAGTCTTAACGGGCTCCGAATGCTGATTTTACCTAACTCCAGACTTTGGAATCCAAACTTTGCAGAGTTTTGGCGGTTCTTTGACTACCGTTTCCCTGTTTCTTTCTCGTCTTTGTTGTAAGAGAGCACGAGCATGAGCGATAAGAGTCATTGTGAGCAGAGGTGTTGCGAGTAGGATCCTCGGCAATAATCAAGTGAGAGTCTTCATCTGTAGTGTTTGACAACTTCAACAAAGATGAAATCTTCCTGCATTTGCGAGGCAAGGAAAACTTTACAGATAAGGATGACAAATACTCCTCAAACTTTGCTTGGTCGAACTCGTACTCGACCGTTGATTCAACCGGGATCTTGATGGTTGGCTGCGACACGACGGTCTCGGCAGCGAGACCGTTGGCTCCCACTGTGATCGTCAGTTTGTTTTCGTCAAAAGTTGGTCTCGTTGTGGAATTCATTATATCTTCGATCGATTACAATAAATTCAAAAGAAGTAGCCTTTTTATAAGACTTCTTTTACACAACAAAATAAAAATTACAACTTTTTAGAAACAAACGCAAGATCGTTGTTTGGATCACAGCTTGCGTGGGATCTTTGCCTGTGCCGGGAGCGCTTTGACTCGTGGACCACCAAATCACAGATTCTGATTGAATCGTGAGGGGTTTAATGATTCTTCCTTCGTTTATCGAAGTGAGAATTTGAAATGATATCTTATCAAAGTAAGATAGTCGTTATTCTTGAGATCAAGTCAAAGCTCGAATCTCAAGAGATTGCCAAAAGCTCAAGAACTCTGCTCTGTCTGCTCCAAAGTGCTCAAGAATGATCAGCCCCCCTCAAAAATCGATCTCAAGGGGTATTTATAGCCTCCATGAACAGTTACGCTCGCGCATACAAGCATTTGCTGTCTCGCTGCAGACAAGTGTTTGCGTCTCGGCGGCCGAGCACAGTCAGTTTACGTCTCGTGCGTTCCGCAGCACAGTAAACACTGTCTCGCGAAAACCCAACTGCAACCCAGTGCTTTCGCAGTACTGCCTTTTCCCACGTTTCAAACTCCGTTATTTTTACAGTCTATCCACTGATTCTTGCGCCACGATGTTTTACACGTCCTTGCATTAATGCGACCGTGTTTACGACAGTTATCAGGTCGTTGTTGACCATTTCAACACCTGTCTCGCTGGCGCAGACAGTAAACACTGTCTCGCTGCGAGACAGTAAAAGACTGTCTCGCTACGAGACAGTAAAGACTGTCTCGCTGGTGAGACAGTTCATATCTGTATTCTTTTGATTTTTTGATCTCTCCTCTTGGGCTGTATTTGGATATCTTTCAGCATTTTTTGACGCTTACAAATTCACCTCATCCTCTAGTCATTTTGTCAAATGCCAACAAAGGAATAAAATAATCTTTAAAAGGTATATTTCTAGATGCGTACCATTCCAGATGTGTACTTCATCTTATTGAGAATTATAAATTGATGCTTAGAGAGATGGTTTTGCCTCAAATGCTACTCAATGGATTTCAAAATTATTAGAGTTTGCTGCATATAAGTATACGGAAAGAGAATTTAAAGTTGTTTTACATGAGATTAGGATGACTGATCAAAGAGCTTACCAAGTAGCTCTCGGTTATGGTTCAAATAATTGGGTGAATTTTGTATTTTCTGATATAAGGTATGTCAAATATCAACCAGTTTCTATGAATTTGAGCTGTTAGATATCACATTATGCTTTTATATGCGACCTTCATATGTTATATGTGACCTTAACTCGTCTCATGTGGCATCACTCTATTAGATGTGACTCTTATCCGTGGGCTATGACAATTTGCTGTTGCTTGTGACATGTGTCGTTATATGTGACACATGGTCGTATTTTGTGATAATGAATTTCAATTTGATACATATGATATTTATTTACAGATATGGTCATATCACATTCAATGTTGTTGAATCTTTCAACAATTGGATTCGTGTGGCGAGAACACTTTCTGTTTGCGATATGATGGATCACATTAGTGTGCAAATTATGGAAAGGATGAATTCTCACCGCTAGATGGCAACAAAATAGAATAGCTATCTATGTCCTGAAGCGGAAAAAACTCTCTAAGAAAATTACATGAAGGGAAGCACTCTTGAAGTCTCACATTCTACAGCTAAAATCTTTGAGGTATCATCTGCAAAAATAGTACAAGTTGATTCGGAACACAAAACATGCACGTGTCGTGCATGAGATATATTGCGAATACCATGTAAACATTTGTGTGCTGCTGTTAACTTTATGCATAGAGATGTGTACCAGTATTACAATTGGTTCATGACGACTGAAGTTTTCAAGAAAATTTATGAACCAATTCTCTTTCATGTTCTAAATTACGATAAGCCAGATGTCACGGATGAAACAGTTGGCATACTTCCTCTAAAGATGACAAAGAGACGTGGAAGGAACAAGAATAGACGTATCAACAACTGATCTGAGAATAGACGTCCAATTAAATGCTTAATATGCCACGCTGAAGGACATAACCGAGTCACATGCACTGAACCCATCCAAGACTAACGTTTCCTGGCAGAATTCAAACACTTCTGGTGTTGTTGTCTGTTATATATTACTTTTGATTTTTTTGTTGTGATATTTATGAGTTAAATGTACATATTACCTTTTCCGGTGACTTATTGGTATTAACTGTGACACCTGTAAGATCTATACTTTCAGATTCCATATAATATGCTAAAGAAAAGTTCATGGAGAAATAAAAAATGCACATTTTATCATTTGCAAGCTGGTTTTGAACATCTACCATCCAACAGAGAATTACATTATATGTGTTTGTCTAATACTTCCACTCAATCAATAGTACATCATTACCCCCAAAATACCAAAAGATATTCTTGATCATTTGCATCTAACTTCAGTCGCAACTTCTTCCATTCTCGGCCTTCACATATGATTTTACCAGTATGTCTTGCCCGTAATATTTTAGACTCCCTTTGCAAGGTTTCAATATACATTGTCTGCCTTCATTCTAGGATCGCTTTGATGAAAAAATATGCATGTATGCCACAATCGTACCTAAATAGAAAAGAGGTAAAATCAATAGCAGCATATGTCATGGATAATGAGAATATATCACACAGAATGTATAAATATCACATAACAGCAACATATATCACAAAGAATGCCAAAATATCACATGAGGCCAGCATATGTGACATTAAAGCAGCATATGTCACAGAGAATGCATAAATGTCACATAAAACTAGCGTATGTTACATGAAATCATCGTATGTCACATGAAACTACTATATGTCACATAACAACAGTAAATGTCACTGATAAAAATTATATATCACATATAATGCATAAATGTCACATAACGCAAGCATATATCACTGATAATGGTTATGCATCACGGATAAGCAAGTATCATAGCAATTAATAAATTGGTAAGTATAAGCTATTTAGAGAAACTTACGAGCTTTTTTGCGTTCGACAAGGAACTGCTTCATATTTGAATGCTCTGAATGTCAGCACCTGGTTGAATCCACTCACCATCATATCTAAAAATAGCTAGATTATCAACACGTCTCTAGCCTATGCCTCGTGGTTAGCGGAACTGAAATGTCTGTATTTTTTTTGTCCGAAATTGACCTCAAGGACATGTCAATGATCAGCATGACATATCGGAATTATCAGAACATCCTTCCCATCATCTATATGCTTCTTTATATACTTTTTATAGACATTTTTCTCATTCAAATTTGAAGTAGTTAGCAACCAAATCTTTAAAAAAAAATAAGGGGAAAAAAGTCAAATAACATATAAATGCAATATTACTTGTAAAATTATTATGATCGATATTACTCACACTAAAATATGATGTGATCATAACAAATTTTCTTTCTCGATCGGCATTTTCCGGTAGCTTGAGCCATTTTTGAAGTCTTGCAACTAGTGCTTCGACGGTCTTATGATTGCAAATGTAATAAATCATGTAAATATCAAAAAGTTGAATAACACCACAAGTTAAATAAAATCTAACCTCGTCCTTTAATCTTTCACCACATAGAAGATGAAACATATCATATCTATTTATAATTTAGTTGTCAACCTCATAAACAGTCCTCTTTCTATATAATATATATAATACAATCAACGTATAAGTATCACAGAGCATTCTTTATCACAGACTATATGTAAATATCACAGAAAATGGTTACAAGTCACGCAAAAACCACTAATTATCATAGAATAATGTAAATATCATAGGAAAACACTAAACATCACAGAAAATAGTAACTATCACAGTGTAAATGTAAATGTCATAGGAACCTAGTAACTATCACAGACTAAATGTAAAAATCGCAGAAAAACAGGTAAATGCCACATGAAATCACTAACTATCACAGACTATATAAAAATATCTCACGTGAAATTCATAGATAACTACTTAATACTTACTTGTTCACTTTTAACGTTAGAAAATATTGAAGCCACTTGTTTTCATCATCCGATAAATCAGGAACGTCCTGAACAGTGAAATTATGATAAAATCTTTCTTCGACCGCTCCTAGGAACTTGATATCAAAGTCTTGTGGAGAAGGAATGCCCATATTCAACATCCCCAATAATTTTTTTTCTTCTCCAATTTTTTCTCTTCTCCATAACTCTTTTACATATGTTCTCATATTAGCATATGAAATTGCAAGTTCCTTCTCCTCTTCCTTCTCCCTCTTATCTTCGTCATCTTTCATCACAACGACAACTTTCTTCTATTTACTTCTTTTCTTAGGGATAACTATTTGGAATGGTGATTCTTAAAACTTGGGCTTCTTTATTGTTCTTTGGCTCTTTGCCCGTAGCCCCTAAACTAATTCTTTCAACGTTTCATTTCTTTCCTCCCTCCTTTTTCTTCCCTTTTTCTTTTTAGTAACTTCCTCGGTTACTTTCACCTCTTCAGGTTGTTGATCACAGTTAATGAGTGTATGTCACAAAAATAGGACATGAACAAATGTCACAGGCGAAATTCATGTATCACAAATAATGAGCAAATATCACAGACAAATTGTTTAAGTCGCAAAAGTAAAGTAATTGTCATAGGAGATGTATAAATATCACAACAAATAGTCAACTGTCAGAAATAATAGGGAAGTATCACAGTGTAGATGTAAATATCACAAGCAATATGCACGTATCATAGGAAATTATTAATTGTCATAGAGTATAAGTAATTGCCACATGTAATATGTAAGCATCACAACAAGTAAGTAATTATCACATGATTTACGTTAAGTGTTACCTCCTCAACTTCAATGCCCATGTCTACTCTGTCATCCTTAACTTCCTCTATATTTTTGCGTTGATCATATTCTTTCTCTGCCTCATCTTTTCTCTCCATCTGAGGCTGCTTAAATGTCAAAACAATAAATAAATCTTTTATAGAGAACGAACGAGCACATAAAACGAGAAATAAGTTATTACCTCCTCATCCTTTTTTTCTCTTCCTTGTTTTTGTTCAACAAATCTTTTCTCAATATCGGCCTTAATGGTCATCGTATCAACGCCGCAAGTAACAAGTTCTTGCTCATAGACTTCAGTCAACATTGACGGCTTGTCATAAGCTTCAGTCTACATTAACAATTAAGTTTCAGTGAAAAATGTCACATATAAGAAAGTCACACATAAAGTTTACATAAACACTATATCTATCATAATAAACTGGTAAATATCACATGGAATAACCAATTTGCACAAATAACGATGTACCACAGTCTACATGTAAATATCACAGAAAATAGATAAAAGTCACAGCCAATATATAACAATCACATGCAATAAATAATAATCACATAAAAGACTATTACCACAGTCGAAATGTAAATAATAATCACATAAGAATTAAACTTATCTTACAAATGCAACAGTCGATTGACTCCATTCCTCTTTTTTAACTCTTTTCTTTCTTAAAGAGTTTTCGGAGTCAACTTCCTCCTCTCTTTTTGCCTTCATCTTTCTAGGCTCTTGCTTGATCTCCTCATGGACATACCACATCATATCTTGCTTCGGTAAGATGTGGATTGCGGCTTCTGATTTCTTCATAATAGTTGCAGTCCGCAACGAACCCACTTTCTTACCTTCTAATGTCTAGTTTGTCATTGGTGACTTGGAATCATTGACTCTGGCTAGCTCCTTGATGTTTGTTATCTCATAGTACCATAGCTTCAAAAAAACAACATTTAATCAATAAAGTATCACAAGTTAGATACAAATGTCACATGTAAAAGACAAAGGTCAGAAGTTAGATACAAATATCACATGTTAACTACAAATATCACAATTAAATAATACATATCAGGGACAAATGTCACATATGGGGCACAAATGTCACATATTAGTATCATATATCACATGTAAAAGACAATAATCATATATAATATGATATTAACTACAAATATCACAATTAAACAATGCACAGCAAGGAAAAATATTACATATGGGGCACACACGTCACATATTAGTGTGATATATCACATGTAAATGACAATGATCATAGATAAGGTGCAAATGCAACATATTAATTACAAATAACACATATAACTCACCGATAGCAAGGGAGCACAGGCGCTAAGATATGTCTGCCCCTTTTTAGCTATCTTGGTAGCTTTGAAAGAGTCCCACAATTCATTGTAGATGATCGTCGCCCATGAGAAATGATCAACCACATCTATCCGAGTCATATACTTGAACATATGTCGCGGTGCATTCATTCTAGCTGTTGGAATCCATATCGTTGTTAGTTGATAAAGGATTTGAAGCATCAAATTTAGAAACATCCGATTTTTTTGACTGAACCAGTTTATCCAATAAGGCCTCAAGGTAATCTCGGCCACTATTGTATTTTTCTTGTTGCTTGTTGCTAAAGTATGTACTACATATCCTATTCGCGGTATCACGATTTCCTTCTGGTTTCCCCCCTTCATCCTTGAACCGGGTATGTTTTTGCACCTAATTTATATCAAATGTGTAGGCTTGTCTTATCCACGTTTGGCTATCCTTGAAAAAAAAACTTTCCAGTGGCCAAATCCTAATGATCTAGCAGTAGCATGATCATGGCTTTGTCGGATGGAATTGCTCCAAAACTAATATAGTTTTGAAAATTGGAGGATCCATAAGCCTTCTAATGTTCGGCCCTCATTCGTGGAACAATTTCATCCATGAATATTACAACATATTCTGATATCACCCTTACTGTAAAACACAACACAACCAAAACTAAATCTACTTCGGGTTCTATTGTGGATAAATTTACAATGACAAACAAAATAAATGACCAAATGTGGATAATTAAGTTTATACTTACAACGCATCCTTTGTTGTTGCTGATTCAAATGACTCAGATGATGCAGATGATGAATTCGTCATCCTATATTTTTTAGAAAACTGAGGGTTTGGTGAAGAAGAGGGACTTGTCGGAGCCAGTGGATGACGAGTTTGCGGTCAGCGGGGTCTTTGTCGGCGGACGATGAGCTTGCGGAAGAACGCAGGAGCGGATGACGAGCGGACGAGCAACTACCAAGATTGGAGCATCGACGAATACGATTCGAAGTGAAGTTGTAAGGGTTGTCATCTGTGGCAGTGGAGGAACAAGATCTTGAGAGGAAGAGGGTTTAGAAAATCGGTTGCAGAGGAGGGTTTTGAAAATCGCACTCAGAAGGGGGA